TTTTTTATTCGTACAGGTATAATATTTATATGAAGAAAAAATTATTTTTTATGCAATTAAGGGATAGAAAGATGCAAAACAAGTATTAAATTTGGTTAAAAAAATACGTACGCGCAATACGTAGATAATAGTATTACGGACTATTTCACGGTGACCACCCATTGGAATATTTTGGAAACTACTTCGATTTAAATTTCAAAAATTGAGACAGCGTTATGCTTATGGCGTGTGCTCCCTGCAATTAAATTAACGATATTTACCATGTAACATTTCCGGTTATAGCGGAAGTTCACATTAACTTCTTTAGTTTAAATGGAATACCCTGTATATTATTACGGTTTCAAATTCTACTTATGATTTTAGGTAAACTTTCATAAGACTTTCCTACTTCTAAAACTTACCGTTTTCAAGTAATTTTTTTTGTTAAATAGTAACAGCAGTAGGTACTTAACGTAACAGTATGCCTACATTACAGTAACAAAGTTGGAACAACGATTTCAGGAGAAATAGCTATACCTCCAAGCTTCCCGTGTAAGCTTTGAAAGTGGGTTAATTACATACAGGGTGTTATATATTTAATGGCGGATTTGGTTAACGTCAAACAATCGTTAATTAATTTTTTCAAATGGAGCACCCTGTATGTATTTCCATAGCCGTTTGCAGATTTTGTTTTCTTTCGAATGATACTATGATTTCTTACACTCATATCCTCTTATTTTCAAATTATTTACCGTTCTTTGGACAATGCACAATTTTTTTATTTCTCTTTCGAATGGTACTATGGTTCCGTAAAATAATTAATTTTTTTATTAAGATGACTGTGAGATTATTAGCAGAAAGTTAAATAAAAATAATACAAGTTACTCGTTGTCACTCAAACACTCATACTCACAGTTAAATGATTAAATATTTTGATTCTTAATATCAATTGTTGAATACAATTTTGTCAAGAATGGAAAATGAATATACGTATTCAAATGCTGGCATTCTGAATTCATTATTTATCCAAGGAAAATGTAACAAAATAATATACAAAACTTGCAGAGTAATTAAAGAAAAATTTCCTTATTAACCAACAATAAGGACGAAGAAATTAAAGAGAATTTTCAGAAATCAAATGCAATACGGTGGACTACACAATAGTAAAAAAGCAACTAAACAATAAATTCATAAATGAAAAGATTTGTTTCATTGCTTCCCAAATAAAAATATAGTGGTGAAGAATCAGGAGATCTTGCTGGCCAATTCCAAGGTCTTGGTAGCTTATCGTTAGTGGTAGAGCAATGGTTTGTAAAGTTAGAGACTCGGGTGCCGGGTTCGATTCCCAGCGAGGGCGTAATAGCAGAAAAAAAATTCTCTGAGGTTATCTGTAGAGGTAAAAATTAATTCAAAAATTAATTCAGTTTAATTTATTGAAATTAACACTACAAAAATGTTTCTAAATTGGCTTGTAGTGACACGTATTGGGTAATAATACTTTCGAAGATGATCAATTTAAATCAATTTTTATTGTAACTTAAATCATCTGCTGGGGGCACAACAAAGGGGGTCCACGGGTACCCGGGCACCCACTCGATTGGATTGGGCACCCAGTCAATTCCAGTCGATTCAGTTATAACCCAACTTGAAACGTCGGTTCTAATAGTTCAAGCTCGTAAATGAGCAAGCGAATTCGATCTTTTCAAGTACATATTTTAATTCAATACATTGGTGACCTTTTTTTTTTTAGTCATACTATGATGGGAGCACCCAGTCAAACTGTAACGTTGTTGCGCCCCTGTGTGTCAGTATTCCTTTGATACCTATATGAAATATTATTCTGTTTCATTGAATTTTTAAAATATTTCAAACAGTAAGAATAAGACTGATTTGTACTTTTTTTATGTTGTAGGAATATCCTGGGGAGGAACGTCCCCAGGAAGTAGCAGTTCAGCGTCCTGGAGATCGTCTCCATCACCACCTCCAAGCGATATTACATTATCGTCAGGTCCTCTGTCCACTAGTGCCGCCTCTGATGAAGGCATTGTAGTGGACTTCATCGATGAATATCCAAGGAAAAAAAAGGTATGCATTCTTTTATGTCACAGACTAACTACTTACAGAAAAATAAAGGTAGATGATAACACATCGACATAACGCTGTAATGATGTATACCAATTTACTGCTCACAGCATAAAATAGTGAATGCAAAATTTTTCGTTGTGGTAATAATTATTTATTTTAATTAGCAATACACTCTTTGATTTGATACGTTAACCGAAATGTTTGAAAATAAGATAATAAAATAGCATTTCAATTTCAATTTTCTAATCAAACATTTTTTTGATGTGTAAGCTATAAACTTGTTTGGCTTGATTTATTTCTAGCGGGAGTATGTAATAGAAAATGAGGTTATAAATTATTTTTATGATAACTATGTGTTCATTTAAGGACAGTGCTACTAATACAAAGAGTTATCTATTGTTATTATTATTATGGTTGTTTATTGATTTAATCAATGTCCAATGAATTAACGAAGCATCATCTAATAAATTAATCTGAATCACAAATAAACACCTTTTAAATATTCAAATCCCCTAGCTCCTAGCACACTCTTAGGTTTATTATCAGAAATTTGTTATTAATGTCACATCAAATGTCAAGTTTTTAAATTTGGCATGTCTACTAATCAAGTAATATGCATTTATATAATAACAGCTTGCAACGTTATTGTTGTTTTAGATACCTTTTATAGCACTATCTAGCAGTTTTGATAAAGATTCTGTGACACAAAGGCACCATTGTTGTCAGCATTTAATAATAAACTTTGTGTTTTGTTCTGTGTACTGTAATAATCTTGTAAAACCTGCTTTAACAATTAGTTCTGTAATTTGCAAAATCGAAAGCGGAGATTTTTGTCGCAAAATTTGTTTTACGTAATTGTATTGGGCGCAGTAGGTAGTCGATCAAAGAAGGTGTTTGTTAACCTATTCACTCGTATTCGTGAAACCACGATGGCTATCGACGCAATTTCTCGATCAAAGTAAATCGATCGTCACGGAGCTTTACTTCTCACACTGTATTTATTATTAAACTTTTATTTTTGTTAACAACACTTTTTATAATTGCATAAATTAGGAAATCGCTTTATTTGCATAGGTATAGGTACATAATCAAATGTATAGATAGATGTCAGTAGAAAGTCGATTGTTATTTGTCGTCGATAATTTTCTGAGAAATCGACACGAAAGAAAATTTAGAGACACACTATTATCTATTATTTTAATTTTTCGAACCATTGTGCAATTCCCAGCTAATAAACACTTTAAAATTACAATGGAAGATGACATTTTAGGTGTCGAAACGCACTTTAGGTTAGGTTAGGTTAGGTTAAGAAGGTTTTTGTGATATCTAAATGAAGGTAATAACTCCGCCAGGTGTGTATTTGCTGCTACTGAAGTAACTTACGGTTAGATAAGGCCTTGTTAAGTTATTTCAACTTTTCCAACTGAATCGACGACGCAGCTTACTTTCGTGATAGGCTCATAAATTATTTAATAAGTATGTTTCAGATCTTGGTCAGAATTTTATTAGATTAGACTACTAGACGCGAATCGCAATTTCATTCTTATTAGATCTCATCAGCGTTTCCATCGTGTATGTAAACTTACGTCGTCGAAATACTTCAGAAGTGGTAAATACCCACCAAATGGCGTTATACTACCTCTATTATCACCAGATATTAGATAAACTCGCACTTTAGAAGGTTCTTCGGCTTGGTCTATAATTTATCGAGACTACCTGTTTGGTATGTTTAATAAAACGTTTTTGTGTGCAATGTAGGTTTATAGTACTTTACTTGGTTCTATTCCACAACCCGATTTGATGTTCATGCACTGAAAATAGGTCTAAATATTTTGTTTGTGTAAATGCTATTTATCATCCAAATTATATCAGTTGTTTAATTAAATGCAGTCGGATAATAATTTGTTTTACTGCATTTCGTTGTTTGATAGTAATGTACTTAAGATAAAACAAATATAAAAAATAGTTATCTGTGCACATTCTCTAGAATGTAGGTATCAACACGTCACTAAGGTATACCTACATACATAGTTATTTTATTAAAATTATGTGACTATAAATTAATTTCTATCTGTTACAGTAATTGTGCTAGACAAATTTTTACATTTAAATTAGTATCAGATATAAATAAGGAAACGATATTAATGTGAGTGTATGTACCCAGGGGCGCAACAGTTTGACTGGGTGCCCAACCCAATCCAATGGGGGCTCAGGTACCCGTGGACCCCCCCTTGTTGCGTCACTGTATATACTATACTAACACAAGATGTGGCAAAAATATAGCGCACTGCGTATTTAGAGAACTTGCGTAGAAAGAATTCGCGATGGAATACTTTCACTCTTATTTTACAGCGATTAACTGTTGTTACCCAGGAAGTGCTCGTCTCCTGGAACGGTTGCATTGCGAATTTAGGTCGAATAGTACGCTGCTTTTAATTGGCCAACTTGGTGATTGTATACGTGCGTCGCTTCTGAGATTTTGTTGTGACTTTCACGCGAAGAATTCCTATAAATAGAAAGTTATTACGGATTTTAAAATATAATGGACTGCCGACTTCAGACACCCTTGCGTTATGTAACCACATCTGTTGCAACATAAGTATGTATATACAATGTACATTTAAGAATTTATAAAACCATTTCGATTTTGGCCTTGTTAGACACCGCGTCTTTGGACATTTGGGTTTCTGTGAAAGTTTCGCAATTACATATAAGAAGTTATTGTAATAAATTGGTAGCAAGTTATTTTGAAAATTGCAAAGCGTATCTTATTTACATGCGAGATTTTGCCTAATTCAATCAATTCTTTTTAACTACAAATAATAATCATTTACGAGAGAAATAAATTAAATATTTAATAAACCCCTGACATACTGACCTAACTATAAAACATGAAAATATGATAAAAACACTATTTCCTTATGAAAATGTGATTTTTTAAAATGAATAATTTAAAAAAATTGAAAAAAAAAGAAACTATGGAGGACCTAACGAAAAAATTATTGGACCTTCACTGACTTAACGGAGAAATATTATTGATTTAGGTCATTATCATTTCGTAAATTTTTCGATGAGGTGCTAAACTTGCACAGCTGGCCATACTGATGTACTCTTGAAAAATTGATGAAAACAAGAACTATATGGAAATTAAAAATAATTTAAACGACTTATCCGAATCAATCTTAATTTCCAATTTTCATTATTATTGCTGGAGATGTTTTTTCTTTTTTTTTCTCTGGTAGATTACTTGGTACTGCCGCGTACTCGGCGTCATTATCTGGTACCCGACCGGATTATTACATGTGTGAATCGGCCTTTAATTAAGGTTGACAAAAATTGTGTTTTAAAAAAATCCAAAATCGATTATTTTTTTCAAAAAATCACGTTTTTTTTTTTAATTTTTTTAGTACATCTAATTTTGGCTAGGTTTTATGTTTTTATTAATATATATACGTGTCAAAAATCAACAACTACCACATAAAATTAATTTTTCTATCCATCGGGATAAAAAGTACTACCCTATGTCCTTTCCTGTACCCCTGAAAATGTGTGTACAAAATTACATGATAAGTTTTACTCGCGATTTCACTCCCGTTGATGACCTAAGATGTGTGTACAAGATTTGAGGATAATGGATTGAATAATTAAGGCGTGAAATAGTAACAAACAAATTCATTCACATTTATAATATTACTTAGGATTTCATATTTTCTATACAATTCTAACGATTTATAACGTACTGATTCGTACTGTTTGTATGGTGAAAGGTATGTAGCGATCATAGGTGTACGTTTACGATCGCACGAGTAAGTCTCAACGTTTGGAGACAATTTTAATTTTTTTTTAGCGAGGTTTTAGCGCTGTGGTATTTTGTTCTGTTGTTGTTTACTTTTTGTGTATAGGGTTATATATATAAGAGCGTAATAATAAGATATGTGCCCTCCACTGTCATTAATCTCAAATCTACGTTTGTCAACATATTTATGCAAAGCTCGCGACCGACTACAGATGAAAGTTAGTGCATCTGTGTGTAAACGCGCGTTAACGAATATATGATTAAATCACCTCTGCCGTGTGTATCGAACTTTACGTTATTGAATTCTACGCTCACGTGTATGGACTCCTATTAGACAAGGTTTTAGATATAATTTGCTGCACGCGCTTCTGTTGCGATTTCCATTCGAATCTCGTGATATGAATTGCTGCTCATCTGAGGAGCCGATAAATACCGTGTTGGATTCCATGTACTACGCAAATGCACCAACAATTATGACGTCATACAGTGATTCTAAACTCTGTTCTGTTGTGCACAACAGGTTCCAGCAAGAGGTACTGACTCAGTGATGATGGTACAGTTGAATAGTATTAGTCCAGTAAAATCTGTCATTTCGAGGACAAGTCTCCGAAAGTTGTACATTTTTGATATAATATACATATATGTTCCACAAATAAATTGATATAACAGTGAGGTGGTGGAAAAAATGAAAACGCACCCCCAATTTTGCGTTTTTCAGTAAATTCAAAAAAGTTTCAGATAAACGTAGAAAAAAAATGTACATAAAAAATTGCTAATGTATATTTTTCGTAAATGTGATAGATAACGAAGATATCGAGCGCAAGCTTTTTGTATTAGCGCGCAATAACCTAAATATTACTTTAAAAAATTGAAAAATTATTAAATTTAATATGTTTAATTATGTACAAAACATTGCCAATCGTTGCAGTGAAATATTT